TGGCTAGTTGAGGAAAAGCTTGACATTCGTCCAAACCATTCTCAAATCTCCCAGTTTCCAATGATGATTCAGGGGTGCTGCAAGATGTTTTTGTTAAACGAGATCTATCCATGTTCTTGAAATCAAATGGTTGACGACCGGTTGATCGCCATCCATTGACGATGGTTTCTTTTTGAATGACAGCATCATTTGTCTGTTTAAGCAGCTTCACTAATTCAACTTCATTGAACATTTTCTCGGTATTGTCACATTTCCACTTCTGGTACAGCTCGGTGTATTTTGCTTTCAGCGGGTACTTGGAGAATGTGCGTTGAGTTTGGATACAGCACCACTAGCTTCACGTCATTCTCGTAGCACCACCTATACAGCTTCAACGAATGGTGACCAGAGTAACCCAGCCACGACGAGCACAATTTAACGCTTAACTCCCATTTGGATCCAACGAGGGTTCAAATGCTGCGTGACAAAACAATAAAAAGCGTCTCCTTTCATCCAACCGGCTTGCGTCTGGTTAAATCCAAAGTTGGCACCAACAGACCCTGAAACAGTTGCAGCAGCACCAAGATCACTGAACGAATCTTTAAATGTGATCAGTGGCGGAATGTAACTCCCATCTGCAGCAACAAGTGATGTTTTCTTTCGGCTTGCCACGCTCAACGTTGTAAACAACCTTCGCCCCTTTTCGTGCGTACACTTTCTTTGGCACTGGATTCATAACGTAGTTGGTTTCATCTACATTCCACCATGAAGCTGGCCGATCCAGGAGGTACAACATTTGTCTTTGCTCGAACTGGCTATAAACGTACTCAAATTATCGTTCCAGTCGGTCAGCGGTCAACCCCGCGGATGTTCTTCCAAGTGCTTCTGGTGTCCGCTTTGAGATTTCAGGTTGTCTCCGTAAAAACTTGTTCAGCCATCTTGTCGATACTTACCTTACCAATCAGGCTAAGGCCTTGTTGTCCTCTGCTGTCCGAAGAAGTCGTCTCCACTCTACTCGATCCATGGCCACAGTTCGCCAGTCTCGTAGTCTGCGAAGGGTCCGCAGGTCACCTTCTACTTGGTCGATCCACCTTGCCCGCTGCGTACCTCTTCTTCTTGTTCCTGTTGGGTCGCTTTCTAGAACCATTTTCACTGGGTCGTCGTGCGGCATTCTTACGACGTGCCCAGCCCACCGTAGTCGCCCAATTTTTGCAATGTGGACGATGGATGGTTCTCCCAGCAGCTGGTGCAATTCGTGGTTCATTCGCCTCCTCCACGTTCCGTCATCCATCTGCACTCCACCGTAGATGGTACGCAACACCTTCCTTTCAAAAACACCAAGGGCGCGTTGGTCCTCCACGAGCATAGTCCAGGTCTCGTGGCCTCACTGGTCTAATCAGCGTCTTGTAGACAGTCAACTTCGTGCGGCGGCGAATTCCATTCGACCGGAGCGTCCTCCGGAGTCCAAAGTAGGCACGATTCCCTGCCATAATGCGTCTTTGAATTTCTCTGCTGGTATCATTTTCGGCGGTCACCAGTGAGCCCAAATACACGAACTCATCGACCACCTCGATTCCGTCACCGTCAATCTGAACTCGGGGTGGGAGGCTAACATTGTCTTCCCTAGAACCTCTTCCTTTCATGTATTTTGTCTTTGATGCGTTGATGGCAAGTCCAATCCGTCTAGCTTCAGCCTTCAGTCTGATGTACGTTTCCGCCATCATCTCAAAGTTCCGTGCCATAATGTCAATGTCATCGGAGCTGGATGGACTTCCTGAATATCGTGCCACTCGTTTCTATCCCAGCTCTTCTGACCACACCTTCTAACGCGATGTTGAACAGCAGACACGAAAGTCCATCACCCTGCCGTAACCCCCTTCGAGATTCAATCAGTTTATCCGGAAATCCGTACTCGTGCATAATCTGCCATAGCTGATCTCGATCGATTGTGTCGTATGCGGATTTGAAATCGGTAAACAAATGATGTGTGGGCACGTTGTATTCGCGGCATTTCTGCAGAACCTGCCGAATCGCGAAAATTTGGTCCGTGGTAGCGCGGGCACCCATGAATCCCGCCTGGTATTGCCCCACGAACTCTCTTGCATAAGGTGACAGACGGCGGCATAGAATTTGGGAGAGTACCTTGTAGGCGGCGCTCAGCAGTGTGATCGCGCGGTAGTTGCAGCAATCCAACTTGTCGCCCTTTTTGTAGATTGGGCATACGACACCTTCCATCCACTCCTCCGGTAATATCTCCTCCTCCCAAATCTTGGCAATTACCTAGTGCAGCGCTCTAGCCAGTGCTTCACCACCGTATTTTAATAGCTCACTTGGTAGTTGATCTACACCAGTTGCTTTGTTGTTCTTCAGCCGACCGATCTCCTCCTCAACTTCTTGAAGATCAGGGGCCGGTAGCCTGTCGTCTTCTGCGCGTGCTCCAAGGTCTGTTGCCGTGCCACCTTCGTTTTCTGCTGCTTCACCGTTGAGGTGCTCGTCATAGTACTGCTTCCACCTCTCAATCACCTCACACTCGTTCGTGAGAAGGTTACCGTCCAAGTCCTTGCACATATCGGCTTGCGGCACGTAGCCTTAGCGCGAACTATTTAGCTTCTCGTAGAACTTCCGTGTGTCGTTTACGCGGTACAGATTTTCCATCGCCTCTTGTCGATGGTATCCCTCTTTTGAAAGTGCTGCCTTGAAGGGATGCAAGTTCGGAAGCTGCTTCAAGTATCTCCTCTGTGGTTTTGGGACATCCAATCGGCCACCTGCTGCTCATGCGAGGCACTTAAGACTGCATCTTTAACAAGTCCCTGGGGATGATTTCCATTCGGTTTGTCGCTTAAAGTCGATTTCGGGATGTGATACTTTTTGTGGGCCGCATACGCTGACAATGAGCAACTTCTCACTTCTTCCAGAGCCTTTGGCAGTGTTTCGGGGGAATATTTTATGGATCTCATTTTAAGCACCTACGGTGGAAATAGGACATGACTGATTGTTTATAAAAATAAATATTAATCTACCATTCTTGTTGAAGCTTACTTTGGTCATCTCTTCGTCGATTTCGATTGCGAAATTCTGACCCGTTTTCATGTCCTTTGATGCAACTATCGCGCGAAGGAGGTAATCAGGGGTCACAATGTGAATCTCGAAACGAAAGACTTTTTGTACGAACGCTTTTATGAAAAAGGCCCCAGAACGTAAACAAAGTGTAGCGACGGTAGCGACCCTAGCGGTGATTCGACGAAGCTGATAGTACGAACCACGTTCGTTTGTGGTTCGAACCAAGATCAAAAAACAACAATCGTATTTTCGAAAAATACAAACATTCAGGGATGTTTCCTTTTGTAAAATGTTGCAATAATGAAATAATATGTACGCCTTGATGCCCGCGCATTGTTCCCAGCTTTACTTTGGTGATTAAAATACTTGCAGACGGTTTAAATAAACAGCTTGGATAGGGACAATCAGAATCAAATTCGCAACTGTTTTCAATGTATCTAACTAAACTTGTTGCAGCATGACGAAAAATGTCCAAAGCTTAGTTTAGTAAAATTTTGATTCTAAATTTCTGAATGCTGAATGGTTTGTCAGTTTGTTTTTAAACTAGTTCGAACCACGATCATTTTTTTTTTTCACGGATAGAACCAAGATCCTTTGCCCTCGTTCTACTGCTTACGCCTTAAGGCATGCAATCAGCCATAAAATGAAAGTGAAATTCAAAAATCTCCCATAGGAATTCGCCATAATCTCAATTTGCACGACCTCTAAACCTTCTTCAATCTATACCTTTTTTTGCCCAGTCTCATGTGTTGGGGATATGAATCGAACTGGAATCAAAGTGGAAAATTCTCTATTCCGGTCCATTTGTATCGCCACGGCACGTCTCTTCGAAACCAAATTTACCAACGAATAGGTGGCGACAGTATCCACCTACAGCCAAAACGCCTCGATTATCACCAACCGGGCCCACCACGACCACTTCGCAACAGCTCTCATTCTCGTCCTCCCTCCCCAATTCGACGCCGCTAGGCCTACCACAAGTGGACTTTTCCACGAAAAACTGTCACGTTATGGCGGAATAATTTGTGTTATGCTAATTTCATTGCCTAAATAATCGGCAAATGAGCGTCTACGGGAAAATGAAAGTGGAAACTCCTTGAGGGCATATGGGATTTTCAGCAGACCGACCGGCCGTCGGCCTCAGCATTGATTAATGTTTATGATTGATGAAGGAGACTTGTGGGGCGGATCAGCAGGAGAAATCCCATAAGGTTGACGGTCACATTAAAAGGGAAAACCACGAGTTCACGGACTTTGTCGTAAATCCAAGGTCGAAACCATCGACGGCGCCGGAGAAACTCGACGCTCAGAAAAGAGCACTATGCGGGTTGGGTTATTAAAAAGAGTGATACTAAATTCAAGCACTTCTTATAACGACAAGTATGAAACAAATGTCGACGACGACGCTGATGATGGAAACAAATTATTGCACAACATCCCCCGGTTGAACAGCAGCAGATTGCAAGGTGTAGCGATGTGATAAAATTAATTCATTCCGCGTGCGTGCGTGTGTGCGGGAGTAGGTCTATTACCAGCAGTGATAAGCGGAACAGCCTTAGCTTGAAGGGAAACAGAAAGCCAAAACGGTCACTCATCACGCGATGGTTGTCGTATGTCCTCTAATCATAAAACAGGTGGTGGCACCACTTCAGTCCCTCCTCAAGGCACCGCGGGAGGGTGTAAAATGATAATAAGAATGGAGCAAAAAGCAAATCTCTTAACGACACAGCCGGGCGCACTTGTTCCGGTAACACCAGATTGCACCGCACAAATTAGCGCCACTCATCCCTTAATGAGATGGATCAAACGAATAAAACTAAAAAAAAAGCAAAAGAAGCAAGCGATATCAAGTGGGCCTCTACGCGAGCAAATCTATAACAGTAGTAATACTACAGGCCTAAAACTGTTCCGAAACGGACTACCTACTCGTAACTCAACAGAATCAGATCAAGCGAACTCACCTAGAAATTTCCCCCCAGCGGACGAGGAGGACGCCGCATTCGGTGGGGTCGAAGCCTGCGAGGATCCGAAGGCCGGTGCCGAGTCCGGTCGCGTTCCGGCATTGATCGGCGTCGAGACAGCACTTGCCGAGGCCGACGGACCGACACTGCTGCTTCCACTCATTTCTTCGAACACTTCAATCGTGAGACTTTTTGGGGAATATTCTTCTTGAAAAAAAATCTTCTACTTGGTCGGTTTTCGCCTTCCAACCCCTTCAAGCATTCATCTGGAGCGACACAAACACAAACACAAGCGACACAGCAGCGAGCAAACTCCTGGGACGACCGCAAACAGTTGTCAGATCTACGCAGCGGTGGCTGCCTCCCAGGACCGGTTCCGGTTGGCGATTGGTCGGAAACTGAAAGGAAAATCGGAGAGAGAAAAATGGAAATGTATTCAATTATGGCACTTGTGCTTTGTTCTGTTGGTTGGTTTGATTGGAGGTTTATTTTATTTTCTTTATTATTGTGGGCCTCGGAGCAATTCACGGTCGCGACGGCCAGGTGAAGGTTGTTCAGATTGGGAAAAGTTACATAATAGAATCAGAGTGGGTGAGATCCAAGGATTTGCTGAGTCTAGGAAGTTTAATTGGAAAATTTGATTGAAGGCGTCCGGGGTGGCCAGTTCAGTTCAGTTTCGGAATATTATTCAGCAAGAAACGAAAGTATTTAATGATATTTTTTTAACGTGACCAAATGCAATTTTTTGAAGTTTTTTGTGGGAAAAAATATGTTCAATAGCAAAACTACAGGAAACATTTTATAAAGCTATATACAGTCCCACCACAAGTATGGAACACTTCTGGTGTTTATAAAATGGGTGTGAGTGGTCCATAGGTATTCCGTAATTGCGCGGGGAATGTAATGCGGAGTCACTCGAAACGGTTGTCAGAAAAAAATCCAACGATCAGGACCAACACCAAGGTTTACGTATATTTTAAATTATGATTAATTTACTAATGAATATTTATTGCTTACGAAAGCGTGCCTACTAGGCATGAATATTATAATTCAAATTCAGCACGCCTGCTACTACTGAAACTCCTCCTCGTGCGAATCTGGACTTATTTTCATTTGCCTCCTCAAGTTTTCGAAACGATCTCGTTGTAGTGGTTTCGTTAACAGATTGGCAAGCATAAACTCCAAAGGGCAATACTGCAGGTTGATTAGTTGTTTTCTGTGGAGATCGTGAACGAAAAAGAATTTCGTTTCGATGTCCTTGGTCGTACGCCTTTAACGGCATCTCTGATTGTCTTCACACCGTGATTGGATGAGATGAAGACACGCCGAATTCTTCCAATAAGCGCTTCGTCCAGACAAGTTCTTGACATCCCTCTACGAGTGCAACTAATTCTGCTTCAGTTGTGCTTAAGACCACATACGACTGCTTTCTGGAACCCCACTGGATTATGCCTCCTCCAAACATGATTAAATGCCCCGCTGGTCTCCTCTCCAATCCACGTCAGCGTACATTGACAAACCATCGCTGTTGGATCCAAGTGGCAACTTGCAGTCACCACAAGTTTGCCAGATATCTCAGCACCCGCTTAGCTTCATTCCAGTCTTGTTGGTTTGGGCAACTGGATTTCTGTGCTAGGATCGTAGTGCTCACTGCAATATCCGGACGTGTTTCATCCTGGGCGATTACTAGCTTTGGCCTTGACCTGTGCCCAAGTCAAATTTCGGCCAACGTTCTTAATTTCACTGTTTAGGCTCCGCCGCCACGAGCCTCTGGGTCTGTCTCTGCTGCGATGTCCTGCTGGATTCCAGTCCAGTGCTTGCTTGCAGATTTCGTTTCCACTCCGTCGTAGTGTGTGGCCGACCCACCTCCACTTCCGTTCACGAATTTCTGTCTCTATCGGCTTCTGATGCCACAAACGATGAATCTTGGAATTTGAAATCCAATTGTGGGGCCACCAGGCACGAATTATGTACCGCAGGCATCGGTTGATAAACACCTGCAGCTCCTGAGTGTTCTCCGCTGATACACACCATGTTTCACTGGCGTATAACAGCACAGACATCACGTTCAAGTTAAAAATTCGGATTTTGTTGCGTCGACTGATCTGATTCGCTCTCCATACATTTCGCAAACTGGCAAAAGCATCTCTCGCCCTTCTTAATCCGCTCTTGGTGCCCCCGTCCGACGCTATCTGGCTGCCAAGATATTGGAAGCTTTCGACTTTCTCCACTGCCTGCTACCCAGCTACCGTGAAATTGGAACGGTTTTCCGTGTTGACATCCAAAGATTTGGTCTTGTTGACGTTGCTGGTTAGACATGCTTCAGAGGAGCGTTCCACAAGGTCGTCGAGCTTACTCTGCATGTCAGAGCGCCGTTGTGCTAATAACGCAACATCATCAGCCAAATCGAAGTCGTTGAGATGCTCCATGGTAATAGGCTGCCACAGCAACCAACGGTTCGGTACACGGTCAACGGCTCCAACCATGATCTCGTCGATTACGATGAGGAACAGTAGCGGTGATAATATACATCCTTGCCTCACACCCGCGATTACCCGAATCGGGTCAGACAAAGCTCCGTTGTGCAACACTCTGCATGAGAAAGCCTCGTTCTGCGCTTCGATGAGGTTGACGATCTTATCAGGGTCTCCCTTGCCTTCTGTCGTCGGGGACTTTTACCAAGACACCCTGCATCCAGTCGGCCGAAAAATTCGCGGTGTCCCAGATATTGACGAATAGTTGATGCAACATTTGTGAGGATAGCATGGGGTCAGCTTTGAGCATCTCTGCTGATATGCGATCGTCCCCCGGGGCTTTGTTGGACTTCATACGCAAGTAACGCGCCTCACCCTTGGCGGTTCATGCCGATTGGTTGACCGTTGAAACTTCGAGAAAGTTGTTCAAAGTGCTCAAATCAACGTTTCAACTGGTCAGTGGGGTCGGTGAGCAGTTGTCCAGTCGCGTCTTTCACAGGCATCCTTGGGTTCATCCTTGCCCCGCTCAGGCGTCGTGAAACATCATAGAGGAGGTGGATATCGCCAGTTGCTGCGGCTTTCTCCCCTCCATCAGCCAGAGAGTCCACCCACGCTCGCTTGTCCCGTATACAGGAGCGCTCAACTTCCCTCTCTAGAGCCGAATACCGCTGACGGACCTCGTTCTTGGCTCCTCGGGTCCTTGATCGCTCTATCGCGGCTTTTGCTTCTCTCTGCTCCTCGATCTTCCTCGGTGATCCACTCCTTCCTCTGAGTGCGCAGCTCACCCAGGTTGTTCTCGCTTGTTTCAATAAAGACATTCTTGATGCTCGTCCACTGTTCTTCTACGCTGCCACCTTCCGGAATATTAGCTACGCGAGCCTCGAGTTCTTCGACGAACGATCTCTTCACTGCTAGGTCTTCCAGTCGGCGCTTGTCGAATCGCCGCCCGAGTCTCTCCTCCCGCCGTTAAACCCGCGCAATGCGTAGGCGGATCTCACCGACCAGGAGATGATGGTCAGACGCGATGTCAGCGCTGCGTTTATTCCGAACATCAAGAAGGCTCCGTCTCCATTTTCAGCTGATGCAGATGTGGTCGATTTGGTTCTCTGTATATCCATCACGGGAGACCCATGTGACTTTATGCACTGGGCGATGGGGGAAGAGCGAACCCCCGATCACCATGTCGTTGTTGCCACAAAACTCTGCAAGCAACTCGCCGTTCTCGCTCATATCTCCGAGACCATGGCATCCCATAATGCGCTCATAGTCCGAGTTGTCGGAGCCGATCTTCGCATTGAAGAAGGCTGTGTAGATCTTGATATCACCTCTTGGAGTCTTATCCACGACAGCATTCAGTTGACTGTGAAAGTTCTCTTTGTTCGGCAATTCGGCAGCATGGTAAGGTTTCGGACCCGTGTTCTGAATCTGGCAACGATTATTCTCTCATTGATAGGTTCCCACTTGATGAGCGCAGCCTGTGCTTGGGCGCTAGGCAGAAAGCCAACTCCACGATGTCGCGGAGCGTTTTCACCTCGCATACCAGAATATAAAAGTACCTGTGCCGAAGGCAGCTTGTGTTCTCCAAAGTCCGGCCAGCGGACTTCACTAAGTCCCAGGATTTCTAGCTTCATACGGCGGGCCTCACTGGCGAGTTGTGCCAGTTTACCCTGTTGGGCTAGCGTCAGTACATTCCATGTTCCAATTCTTGTCCGTTGTTTAGCGCTAAAAGTCGTTCCCGTAAAATCAGTTCGTAATCTTTCACTATTGGTTTCTGTAACAATTTGAAGGTTTCGGAGACAGTAGGTGGCTGGCCTAAGGCCTTGGGTATAGCTTTCGGGGAGAAGCATTTCGTATTCAGCCGCTGGATGCCAGCCAGACGCTGTTAGAGCCGCCACTAACATGGAGAACAGACGCTCGGGTTTTGTAAGCCATATCCTCGGAAAAGAATGCAGCTCCCCCTTCTCTGTCAGCATACGACCAAAGTTCCCACCGGGGTTGGTTACCCGATCTTCCCTAAGGTTGCTCGTACCCCAGCCGGCGCCGTGGGAAGGAAGGGATAGGAGTTATTGGGCAAGAGGCTAAAGATCACTTTCACTTGCGTGACGGGTCTATTTGATAACCTTCAAGTACGCGAAGTACCGGTGGTACGCATTATCCCAGTCATTTGCCAGCCAAGTAAAGTAAGCCTCCGATTAAGCTGTTATTCGGAAACTGGTCTTGCTCCCCCTTCTTCAGCTGTAAATAGCCTGGATCGATGGGAACCTTCGCTGGTTTGGCATTTTCTAAGCTGAACCTTTTGACTAGCTTGTTAATGTATGCCTGTTGGTTCAATTTGAACCCATGTTGACCACGTCCTCCGTATGTACAGGCATGGATCTGCTTTAGACTGGGCAAACTCCATTGCTTTAAAGACGGAGTCTACCTTTTTATCCCATGTTTGAGACCGTAGAGGTTCCTTCTCAACCGATATACGGTGTAGATTGGCACATATAGATGACTTCATCTAGCGCTCCGTTAAGGTACGCCATCTTGATATCCACATGCTTCACAGTCCAATCATTACGGGCGGCAACGGTTAGCAGCGCACTAAACGTGACCTATTTCGCTTCGGGTGCGAAAACTTCATCGTAATCAACAGCAAACTTTTGGGAAAAGCCTCACTAACGCTTGATATTCTTCGATCATTACAGCTTTCCAGAGATTGGTTTCTTCAGATTGCAATGCCTTGTTGCAACTGCGGGGGTCACTAGCTCCCTTGCTAGCGAGACATTTGCTCATCGTCAGGCCCTGATGCGATTGATGCTGTTCCGGTTCGATAATCGATGTCAATCCAACAGACGTACTGGCAGTTGGTTGATCGTTTCGTTGTGCTGAAAATTTCTAGCAGGGTAGGCCTTGCTCGGAAGAGAATAATCGTTGTTCTT